CCAAACTTTGAAACGAACGCTGTACGCGGTGACATGTCGTCAGACCCCATTTCAAACGAAATTTCGCGAGAAAAGCGTGACGTTCCTCAGGTGTCCAGCGTGACATTGGAAGGGATTAACGTTTTGCACACGGTCAGAACATGTTTTTACGTCCGCGGTGAACTTGTGATCGTCGTTTTTGTTGCACTTTCTTCATGTTTGTTGCATGTGACATCGATTCTTTTCCAGTTTCGAAAAGGTGTTGAGAAGCTTTTGTGTTCAACTGTGAACGGTTTTGGATACTTCTCGTTGTTTAGAGTTTGATACGTGGAACGATATGTCTGAAAATGGATAGCACAAAAGATATAATATGATAATTAAAATCGGGATTTTATAAATTTATAGTTTATGTGAACGAATGGAAGGATATAATAATATAATACAATATACTTAATACAGTATAATATAAGAAAATATATGTAATTGATTTATAGAATGATAATGATAGTAAAAATTACAATAAATAAGTTTCTCAGTTCCTTTGAGTGGAATCAGGCCTTTAACAAAGGAACTAAATTTCTCTATGTTGACAACTGTTGAAATTTTTTCTGTGTAAATTAGTGACACTCGAATAAAATTAATGGGTAAATTATAACTATATTATGTTATATTGTATTATATATTATACAATTTAATTTAGTATACCTATATTCAACGCTGGTAGTTTTAGTGCGAGAGAATAATATTTTATTTAAGTATTTCTTACACTTCTTTTTGAGTACAAGATTGAAACCTTGTTTCTTTAACATAATGCATATAACTACATTGCAAAAATTGCACAAGAATGAATAGGGAAGGGAAGAAAGGAAATGAGCAGTTCCCGAGAATGAATGGGTTCAATGCGCCAAGAATTGCTCATGGTTGAACGTATTGGAGCAACCTGGATTAGCTAATGCTCGATCGGTGAACCGCAAAAGATTGTCCTCTTTTGGACGACATGTCACGCTTGACCACTTCGAGGTTGCTCTTTTTGCGCAACTTTCTTTCGCGTTTATTCATGGAGGAATTTCTGCTTCAACTACGTCGAAATCCGCGTTGTATCTAATGCAGTGTTCAAAATACAAAATAAGGTGACCATTGTCATCGAACAAAATCATCGTTCCAATAGCTTTCTCGTGAACAATAATTCGATGATATTGTGAAATTTACTAATCGACACTAAATCTATTCTAGTGTGCAATTCTTTAGTTTATATAAGAACTATGTATTGCATTCTGCCTCTAAGGTTCATTATTATCTACAGTATAATACTTTAATAAACATTCGACAAAATTTTTATTTTATTTCCTAGCTTCTCACGAATGAAATACTGTTCATGTGATTCCTATTTTCATAAAACACTAAGTCTGTATTTCTGACCAGATCCTCAATCATCGAATTCTTTGATAGAAAAATAACCGACCTAGATAATTTGAAGTTAACTCTAAACCGCTGAAGTAGCTTCCGAGCAAAATAAACAAGGGATGTAGCTCAAAGTTACCCCAACAAATCGATCGATTGATTCTATTCCATCTCACATAAGAAAGAAGGTGGCCGCTTCTGTTGTCATTGGAAAATGTTTTCCCGTGACATCAAAGTCCATTAAAAAGCTTCTACAGAGATGCACATTATTGAATTAATTAGCTTCATCGTTCTCGTAATTCAATTGATTTTCCTGAATCGTTTCTACATCAATTTGACGTACTCACTGGTTACATCGTCTGGACTTCACAGCGTTAATATTTCATCTATTCGCGTCTGTTTCAAATTTTCGTCGCCCAGCTGTCAATCATGTCCAGGTAGAATTAAAAAAGTAGAATCAGTATTCGTTTGTGTATTCGTGTCTTATTCTGGTTGCGAGTATTCCATTTTGGAGCATCCGGTTGTCTCGTCGAGGCGAAACAGCGGTTATTTTCGTAAAAACTGTATTATCGTGTTTTGGCCGGTCACAATGTTCATTCCCAGGGGCCGATAAATTGATCGACTGCTTAATTGCAAGCTGATTCGTTTAAACGATTACCGAGAACGCGGGGATTATTCTCCGTCGCAGAGAACAAAGCTTTGTATAGAACACTGCGATTAAAAAATGCACCCATTTCCATTTTCAACAAGCTTTCATCCGATAATAACGGAATTTTTTCTCTTCTTTATTGATTTTTATACGAAAAAACATACTATTAAAAATCATTTGTCGTGATTAATATATTAAGGGAAAAGTTAAAAAATACCTGACAAGATACAAGTTTGCTGAAAAAAGAGAATATGGAATATATAACTGTCTGAGAGTCTTACAGACCACAGGATCCGATGAATAAGTAAAGAACGGCAAAATTTTCAATAAAAAATTTTACTTAAATAAATTCTCATAGGAACATTAACAGACAAGCGTAGAGATTTAATAAAAGTGCAAACTAATTGCAAAAAACCCATAGAAATATCTATTAAAGAAGTAAAATCTAAAATATTCCTTCAAACCCAAATAACTCGTACATATTCTTACCATTCCCTTTCGCAATGACATACTAAATAATTAAACGCAGCAATCGAAATATTTCTCGAGCAGAAAAGGCCAAGTGCATTAAGAACTGATTCTATAAAACTATTTCCAATACCCTAGATCGCCAAAAATAATAGTTCCCAAAGAAACCCCAAAGAAGCGTCATCATCTTCATCCAACAAAGAAACTCGATCGGACTCACAGAGGAGACATCGGTAAATTAAATCCATAAAGATCCGAACCGTGGCACTAGCGTATATAAATGCTGCGTGTGTTCAAGAGCCAAAGGAGACAAAGCGTTCGGCGTAACTCGAAGCGCGGCGAATCAATAAAGCATGGAATACATTAAACAAAAGGGAATTCGAAAAAAAGAAAGAAAGCAAACCGACGACGAACCCGACAACAGGTTCTCCGGATGCATAACCGTCGAACGAGGCATCGCGCGCGCGCGCGCGCGCGCGCGTTCGACGGAGAACCAAGGGAAAAAATCGCGAATGAGATGGACGAACGAGTCGTGGGACTGATTTAACCAGCTCACGGTGGAACGCGTAACATCTTTCGGTGGCTGTACCATCGGTATTGAGCAGACGGAGGCCGAGTCAAAGAGGTGATCGCGAGCTTGAGAATCGGCTGTGAGCCGCGCTGATGTAGACGGTTAGGAGGCGTGATAGAGAGGGAGGAAAATTCGAGGAGAGAAAGAGGCGAGATGAAAGAGGAGGAGAGGGTACGGTACGAATCGATTAGGTCTGTCGGCCATTTTGTTGGCGGCTCGAGCCGGCCAAGTGTCCCACAGCTGCCCCCAGGAGGCGTGGAAGCGACAGAGTCGACTCCACCGGGAGAACGAATGGTTCGACGTCGGTGTGGAATCGAGCCTCGAATCCTCGCCACCGGATAGGACGTGGCTCGGCCGGCTCGGGGTGGTGGAACCGGCCCCAGGAGTGGGGTCGAAAAGGTCGACCCCGATGGTGGAGGTGGGGGAGGAAGCTTCGGGTGGTTAGGTTGGGTTCTATAGGAGCCTGACCGGCAGTCAGTGCCTCCCAGGGCCCCGCGCCGTCAGTCTCGTTGGTGTGTTGTGCCGTGTAACGTGTGTCCTCTCTTTCTCTCTTTTTCCTCTCTTTCCTTCTCTCTCTCCTCCTCGAACCCTTTCCCTCTCTCCTTTCCACCCCCTTTTTCCCTCGGTTACTTTTTTTTTTTTTTTATTTGTTACCACTACGATCAACCACCGCCGCTCCCGCCCCGCGAGTGATAAGGGAAAAATCGTAAACGCGCGCGACTTTCGACGCTTCTTTCGGGTGACGGATGGTGTTTGTGTGTCCAGGAATCCGAGACCAGGGTCACGGATCGCGCTGATCGAACTGTCCAGGTGCGCTCCGTTTATCCTAAACGCCTCCCCTCCGTCGGAAAACCACGGTGACCGTGTTCGGGGCTCGGATCGCGAGGTGTACTGATCGATGGAAAATGAGCGTTGGGACGAACCGGTTGGAATAGGGGATCACAAAATCCTTCTCGACTTGTGATCTGCACGGACACATGGAAAGAACGCGGAGGATCGATTCGAAACTGCTGAAAAAGTGGTTTTAAGTTACTTTGGAACAGTCGTGAACAATTTTGATGTTTCGTGAATGTTGTGCAAGGATATCGTGCGCGAATAACTCTCGAGAAGTTGGATTAATGTGACAGGACTTTGCCTAAGAATTTAAGATTGAGTACATTTTCCATCGGGAAATTCGCCGAAGAAAATATACTTCGAATGTAAGTTTTTACCCGTGTCGCGAAACGTCGGTAAGAGGACTACTCGCGGAGGACGACGGCCGTCCGGAAGACCGCAAAATGGCGTGAGTTCCGGTGAACCGTCGTCGGAAGTGTGCAACCTGCTGACACTGTGCATATTCGCGTGTGGTGGACGGATGCTTAGAAATCTCGATACCTACGATGAGCATAGTTCGAACGAAATTAGTGCGGCGAGCAGGATGTACGAGCAGCAAGAAGCATAAAATTGACGGATCAGCGACGCCAGAAATTCTAAAAGTTTCGAAGAACTTCTTTGCTTCCATTGTGAACTTCGGAGTACCAGTGTACAAGTAATGTTCACGGGGCCGTCGATTGTGAGTGTTGGAAAGGGACCATAGATGCATTCGTCGCTGTGAAATTCTAAGAGTGACTGTCAGTGAACCGTGGAAACGTAGGAGAAACAAGTTTGACGAACATTGAAAAAATTCCTTATCAAAATTCTTGACGAAGTATGTCGCACGTGGTTGAAAAATATGTATCTCGATCGAGGATTCGAGTCAGTGAGTAGTTTGAGATAATTTTTACAAATTTCGTATGACATTTCGTTGAGACTGAAAATAGTGACTGTTTTGTTAGTTTTGTAATTGTACTCGGTTCGGTTTTGTGGAACTTCGTTAAGGACTAAGGAAAAAAGTGTTGTTCTCAATCGAGATCACAGTTTCGTCGAATTATTAAGGAAAGGTAAGTACGACCGGCGGTCGTACTTGGCGCGAAGGCTTCAAAATTGCTCGAAAATCGTCGAAGGAGGTGCGAAGGGCTGGAAGAGCGATGGAAATCGGGGGTGCGGCAATGCAGAGGATGGGCACTGCCGGGGGGCCCGGGCCCCTTAGCCTTCAGGGCCCCCCAAGGTCAGTGAAAATCTCACCCGTTAACATACAGGACGAGTCTGGTGACCTCACTGCTCAAAGTACGTATAACACTCATTCATTCTTCCTAAATTTTTTGTTAAATAACTTTGCTTCAAGGGTCTTTGTGTACTGTTCACCGTGAAACAAAGACAAGGTGTGCAAAAAAGTCCGTGTCAAATTTGAAGGGCATGGCACACCAGTGCAAAAGCTTAATGTGTTGGTTCAATTGTTCAAAGTTGAGTTTACAAACCATTTTTTGAATAGTTTTTTTTGCACATCGTCACTGTTTTTATTCAACTGCGGATTTAATATATTTGCAGAGTATTCGATTGTGCAAAACATAATAAAACAGACATTTTGAGAACGTTTAATAACCTAATTAATTTATTTTCAATTTGATAAGACCAATGAGAAGAATATCAGCATTTGCTGATCATTCGATTTCGGTAATTTACCTTTGAAATTTCAATTTGTACGAACATCCGCAGTCCTGTTATTTTAATATTGTCAAAGAGCAATATTATACTTTTTTTAACAATCTTCAAACAAGTGAAAATAAACTAAAATTAGTACTGTGTACTAATAAATGGATATGACTTCCGTCACACGAACAGTAAATCGCGAGTTACTCCGCCGGCCGCGAAAAACTGCAATTTTCAACATTTTTAACCGTTTGTATCTCACAGCAACGTTAACAAATTTCGATAAAATTTTCAGTATGTACATAACTAACATAAATCTTCGAAATGTATTTATTAAATTTCCATTAAAGTCCCTGATAAAAAATTTGAAACAGCAACCTTTACTATTTTCGTCGCGATTCCAACCAAGTGCAACTTTTTCCAAATCTTTTTACACATCATGTAGTAAACCAATCTTTCTAACTTCACAAACAAAACTAAGATCACTTGGTCCAATTTAAAAAAAGTTGTTCTGTTTTAAAAGGCGTGCCAATGCTTACTTTACCCACTGTATGTGTAATCATTCACGGATGGTTTTCACAATTTTAAATGGAAGTGCACGTGATCGTGGATTAACACGAAACGAAAGTGATAAAAATTCTTGAAAAGATGTGAAAAATGATCGAAGACGCGAAAACGATCGCTCACGACGATCGACGTTTGCGTGTTTCACCGAAGCTCGTTGCAGTTCGATGACGCCTGGCGACGTCTCGTTTATCGGCGTATAATACCACGATGTTCGATCACCGCGAATCCATCAATTAGAACATTTTCCGGGAAGTTTTGGCGGGAACGCAAGCCGAGTATCGTCAAATCCGATTATTGCCATTTCACGAGAATCCACGTAAAGTATTTACCAACGCAATCCCAGACTAATAGCGTACTCAATGCGTTATACTTTTTCTTTTTAAAAATCCTAAAACATCCGTTTTTACAGGGTTTTACATTGGTACGCACCCTTAAGGGGTTATGCGCGCTAACAATAAGTAGAGTCTACAACAGATTTAACTGGGCAACGGAAGACGTCATCAGCTTCCGTTTGAAATATTCCAGCAACCTGTTACGGAATCGGTGCATATTCTCGTGTCCGATAAAAAGTCGACGAAATACGATTTGAAACGTAACAAACTGCCATCGACGACTGAAAGCGTTCATTGACAGTGGGTGCTGGCCCCCGTAAGTAGGTACATACATTCTCGAATCAGATAATTCGCTAACACGATCTCCCGTTGCCATAGAATATTCAGTAGCGTACAGCGATTCAACGATAACTTTCTATCGTCGAACGTTACACGACGTTACGAAGGATTAAATAGTGTAACACGTATTTTCCGTGTTCCACGGACGATCATGGATCCGACGCGTCGTTCGTGATCACGCCCGCGGAACACTAATATCCCACGTGTTTATCTCGCGTAATTATTACGTCGGTTTATGAATAAAGCAACGGTGCAAATCGGACCGTAATTTTTTCGCGCGATTTACGAGGCGAAAATCGCCGACTGGGCGTGAATAGACTGCATCACCGAGCGTAACGTGTCGATGTTTCAGAAAAACGGATTCTATTTCTGCACCGTTTTGATGTCGAGAAATATTGGGTCGATAGAAAAATTTGTGATCGCCACGAGTTTGTGGAAATAATAAATAATTATTTTAAGGTATTATGTGTTTTTCCAATAAGAATTATCAGAAAGGGAAACGTAAGGTAAATTTAGATATATCAATTATAGACGGTTTATTTACATTAGGTATGGAATTTTTGAAAATCTCAACAATTGAAGTACCTTGTTAAAATATTTTACTAATATTTACTCATATATTTGATTCACTGTGAACTCAATATCTTCATCACGCCTTCCACGAAAATTATAGTCAACGATCTTGTGGAATTCTCCTGAGGCATTCGAACAGATGTCAAACATCTATGCAATTTCTCAGTCACTTAATAAGCAATCGGCCTGTTGTATTGATAATATCTAGCGTAATAGCGATACAAGTCGCGATAAAACATAGCTGCATATCTTACTGCATTGTAAATAACGTTTCGTGAATGTCTGGTTTCAGTATTTCCCAAGTAAAATATGGTACTTCAAAGTTTGGCCTACTTCTTTCACGTAGATTTACTATTATCTCAATAATCGCTTGATAAGAAAGAACAAGGTTATTAAAGGCAAAATTAATTTCTCTGAAAGTAACATAAAAAAGGCCCTTAGAAAGTAGCTTTGAGGTATAGATGACATTAAATAAAATTCTTAAATACGTCTACTGTTTTCTTAGTTTCTCTGCAATATAAAGTTTAAACATTTAGTAACAACTTTATGTCTTCCAAATTTCCTGTTTCAAAATATGTATTAAAACATATGACATAACTTATTACATTTGTCTCACATCAATGTTACTGTATATTTACTGGAAAAAAATTACGTAAAAAAAACCGTAGAGGAGATTATTGCAGGCACTCTACCACTTTCCAGCATTTCGGAAAAACGTCCCTATCGAAATCGGACGAGGTAGCGAGAGCCGAATTCACTTGAGTTTATTTTTGATTGCACCCAAGGACCGATTCGGCGGTCGGCTATTCGGCAGTTAAGTAGAAACAAATGAAACGAATCTGAAGAATTCGAACTAAGACCGGGATCCTCGGTGCTGCTCTAAATAGTTTTTCGAAATCAAACGCGACCCCACCTTGTTTTCTTCTCCTCTGTCTCGCTCGATTTTAGCCAACCAATGAAAACAATCCTCCGTCTGAAGTCTCGATTATTCAACGCGGTCCGTTCAACCTTCTTGTTTCTTCGTTTCACCTGTAATTTTCTGAAAGTATTATTTCCACTTGTTAACACATGAGTTATACGTTGCACGAAAAAATCGAATAATTAGAGACAAAACTTATAGAATGATTTCTGTTTTATATTTATTTAAAAATATTTGGGACACATTTTTATAAAGAAAGTATAATTAATAAAGGGTTGTTTTTTGGAACTCGCTGTCGGTGAGTTCAACGCATGGTATGTAGCAAGAGTTCATGAACTAATGATTGAAAAGACATAATCACGTACTTTTTGTGTCGAGAGAAAATATATGAAAATAAATACTTACGGTGTATTCACATGTTTTTTGAAACATATAAATATGTATTAGTGTGAACATAAATCCAAAAGTCAACCCTTTCGGAGGTTCAAAATAGACATTCTTCTACTATAGTATTATAGTTGTTAGACGCGTATACTTTAATTGTCATGAAATTCGATCAGTTTTCTTATCGAAGTTCGTATAGCTTAAATATTTTCATAGCAAAGAACAGAAACTAATTCTAATAAATTCTAGTCGAATGATAAGTTTCTGTTTTCAGAATTTATAAAATGTAAAATGTTTCACTGATAAAATGTTACACTTATTTCACATTAAATTTCAGATGTTTAACAAAAATATGACAATGAAGAATATTTCAGGCAATATTTCTTATTAAAGAAGTTATCAAATTCTTTTTATAAACATTATTTATAATTTCTTATTTCATCGTTTTACAATCTGAAAAATGAATTTCATCTTTTCCAATATATCAAAAATGTGCCATTACCCTATATCAAATAACGTTTAATTTAGAAACATAATGATGGCAATGACCCTCATAACTTTCAAAAAATAAAATCAATAGAAGGAAACTGTCTGAAAAAGTGGAAAGTGCTGGATATAAATATCTCAGGCACTGTATGTACATTTACAGCATTTCAGCATATACGGCAATTTAATGATCCTGATCACGTACGATTGAAATCCTAAGAAACATCTTTCACATGTTTCGTTGGGAAAAGAAACTAAAAATCGAAAAGTTAGCATAAGAAACGATAGTACTTTTTTTGTTTAATATTCCTCGTTTCATTGAACGTTTAACTTTACCTTGTACAAAAAAAGCACTTGTATAGCTGTCAACCTTGGTTTTTTAAGCGCGCAATCGCGGGGAATAAAAACGTGAATAAAGAATGGATACGAGTCATCTTTAAAATAAGAAACTGTACAGTTTTAGAGATTGTGCATTATGTACAGACGAAACGTATTTCCTCGTTATAAAAACCCACTGTTAAATTTATCAGAAATACCCTGCAATAAATAATTTTACGTACAATGTCCAGATTTTGTCATGCATTTAAATAGTGACAGCTTTATTTGATAACATTTTAGCTCAGGATAAATAAATTGTCGATACCTAGACTATGAATGATTATGCACATTAAACTTTGTATTGATTTGTTTAGAAAAGCCTATAATATTGCAGAAAAATAATACCCAAAACATAATCATTATCGTGTTTTTAACTAACTCTGCGTGGTTAATTATATTAAGAAAAAAAAGATATAATACTTTTAACCAAGAGTCTCAAGAACGTTTGAAAAATTCCCGCTTTGGTGCATTCACGGTAGTGACAGGCTAGAGTAAAGAATGTTTTTTCCGATTGCCACCAGACAAAATGCAGCGTGCGTCGGTTTTAATTAACGGCTCATACATTTGCATGATTAGACCCTGAAAAATACGCGGTATCAGCATTCCCGTACACCAAAAGCAACCACGACATTAATGGTGGGATTCCTCTCTCTTTCTCT